GCAACTATCTTGCAGATACATGTTTAAAAAAGTTGTGTTCCTTATGAGGTATGAAGAGAACTTGCTGTTATCTTCATGAATGTATTCCAGATGTGTTTCTTATTAATAGAGACTGTGAAAGGACTATGCAGAAGGAGTACAACTAACATTGTTAGGTGTAATCCGGGGCAACATTGACTGGTGTGGAAAATCTTTTGACTTAAAATTGGGATAAGCACCCTCAGATATTATAGATTTCTTACTGGAAATCGGGACTAAGTGGTTGGGAAAGACATGCTGGTACTGTATGTTTGTGACACTGCATGTATCACATCTCTGAAGAAGGGAAGACAGCCATGGTCTAAAAGTAAAGGACAGAGTACCAAAAATGACAAATTGCACCAAATATAAAACTACGCAACCCAGCAAATTTGAAGGTGCTAAATCCCCCCACCCTGCACCAAATGGTCTAGATGGGCTGAAAGGCCTCCTCTCATATGTAACCTTTTTTATGTTCTTAGAACTCAAACGAGGGTGGGACTGTCCTGGTAATCACATGAGGAAGGCTGACATAAACAAACAGGGGCTACATGCAGATGATGTCTGTATGCAAATCACTAAATATTGTGATGTATTGTCTTTCCTTTGTCTTTGGGTTTTTTAGGCCTAGTCCCTGCCCTTTCAGCACCCCTAGCACCTTATGCATCACCTCTAACTGTGTAGTAATTTGATCAATGTCAAGGCAAACAGTGTGTCACTCAAACTGCGATGTTTGCCGCCTACTGTGCTGATTTTTATGACAGCTGAAAGACCTTATAAAGAGAGAAGAATTGACACAAAAGAAGGAAAAAAACACATTTCTGTTTCTTATTTCTGTAGCTCAGTGACATCAGAGGACTTTAATGGATTACCACTTTAATGCAATGAATGATTTCCCATAGGCCCTGTGCCTACAGTGCCTAGGGCCTACGAAGTTTTTCGGGCCTATGAAGGAAGGAAACACTAGTGACTAACAAAAACCAAGCTGAAACAACATGCTTGTGATCGACTCTAGGTGCTCCAAATCAATAATCATTCGCTATCTAGTGGCTGTTCTAGAAACTAAAGTATCGAAGTGATGTTCGCTTGACTCACTCCATCACGTGGTTTATTATTAGAATAGTGTAGCGCCAGTACTGGTTGCTTTAATGGCTGCGTCTCCCCTTAGCTATGCGCCCACAAGGCAGGCTGGGGGCAGAGACCATGGGGCTGGACTTGATGTCAGTGTGTCGACCGGAGATTGACCTGGCAGTCTTAATAGTGTAATGCAACGGGGGCTCAGGCGGGCGCCCTTGCCGCATTAGGTCGGCCCCGCACCGTCCGGGGCTCGAACCCGGGACTCCCGCGTCTCTCTGCAGCGACCCAGCCCCGTGAGCTAAAGAGAGATCTCTTTACAGCCCAGTAGCTGTAGTCCTGCTATCACAGGGAAGGGCGGTGACATCACCTGCTCTGGTACGCCGGCTCTTACACAGTACCTGTCGGCCGTAAGCGTTACAATAGCGTAGAGCAGTGGTTCTCAAACTGTGGTACGCGTACCGGCAGTGGTACGTGGCGTGCCGCCAGGTTGTACGCCAAATGACCCTCGAACTGTGTTGTGTGCGCTGAAAAAATCGGGACGGGTTTTCATATTTTGTATTTTTATACGTGTCGAATACGCAGCCTACGTACTACAATACAGTGCGCGCTAATACTTCAGTGGACACAATAGATACTCTGTAATTCTATACCACTCTATAGGAATGCGTGCTACAGACGCAAGTGACCAATTGTATTTAAAAAAAGCTACTGTATCTCCAGCAAATAGGGAGAAAGGAGAATGTGCGTGATTTTGGAACAATGCCAACGTTGCAAACACAGGAATGCATAGAAATGCGTGCAACGAACACTGGTAATCTTGTGAGCACAGGAAAGCGTGAAAAATAACAGTAAAATATTTAAGAACTGTTCTAAGTTAATTTGAGAAAAATACACCGAGCGTCTCTGTGTTTCTCTCCCACGCACATGAAAAAAATACTTAAAATAAACACTGAAATAAAAACGGAAATGTGGAAAAATGCAAGCTTGCGGATTGCTAAAGCAGGTAAGCCCCACAATATTATGTGTGGAGAAAAAGCTGCTGAACAGCTCGACCTGCTGCCCGCCCCCCTCCCGAAAAACACAGTCATTCATAGAATTAGGAATGATTATATCAAAAGTACGTTGACAGCGCGCGTTAAGATGAGCAGATGTTTTTCACTGCAATTAGATGAGTCTGTAGTCGATTTGGCCAATTTGCTCGCTTACGTTAGATACGAGTTTGAGGGTACGTCCCGTGAGGACTTTCTGTTCTGTAAGCCGCTACCAATAGGAACTACAGGAGAGCACGTATTTCAGCTTCTGAATGAATTTATCGGAGAGAATGGCATCGACTGGATAAAATGTGTCGGAGTTTGTACAGACGGTGGTAGAGCAATGACAAGCCGACACAGGGGTGTAGTTGCACGAATTAGAGAGGTTGCTCCAGAAATTAATGGTTTCATTGCAACATCCACCGCGAGACCTTTGCCGTCAAGAAAATGCCTGACGGTTTAAAATCTGTTAGACTGTTGTGAATTGTATCAAGGTTCGAAAAATAATTCACATCTGCTTTGCTCGACTAAACAAGCTCACCCCTCTCACTGAAATGGTGCTTTTTTATTTTTATGTGTTGTTTTTTTTTCTGTAAAACACTTTGAGAAGCCACATTTTAATATATCAAACAAAGTTTATTATTATAATATTTATTATATGTATGTGTGAGTGTGTGTGCACATAATTTCTGGGGTTCCTATGAGATAGTGACTTTTAGGTGGTACTTGGATGCTTTGGTTGGATTAGGGGTGGTACTTGGTCCAAAAAGTTTGAGAACCACTGGCATAGAGAGTTTATGAGGAGCCATTTTAAATAGTTGTCAGTGTTTGCTGCTTTGTCCTTGTAACCCACCATAAACTGAAGTACCCCTCCTTAATCCTTACCTTGTGTGTGTCTGTAACCCTTTTGAGGAGTTTCAATTTTTGTCAGTCAAAGTTCGAACGGTGGAGGTAAATCGTAAACATGTTGTTGTCTGCATCAGGGGTATGCAAGCTTCATTCTGTATGAATACTCTATATCAATACCCTTGAAATGCTAAGCAGCCACATCACCCTGCAGCTCTCAACTGGCAACCCACCTGAAGCAAAGCAGGTGTGAGCCTGGTCAGTACCTGGATGGAGACCTCCTGGGAAAAACTTGGGTTGCTGCTGGAAGAGGTGTTAGTGGGGCCAGCTAGGAGCACTCGCCCTGCGGTCTGAGAGGATCCTAATGCCCAATTATAGTGATGGGGACAATATACTATAAAAGGTACTGTCATTTGGATTAGATATAAAACCAAGGTCCTGAGTCTCTGTGGTCATTAAAAATCCCAGGGCGTTTCTCAAAAAGAGTAGGGGTGTAACCCCGGCGTCCTGGCCAAATTTCCCACTGGCCCCTACCAATCATGGCCTCTTAATAATCCCCATCTATAAATTGGCTTCATTACTCTGCTCTCCTCCTCCTTTATAGCTGCTATGGCTGCCGCCGGATCATCCAGATGGATGCTGCACATTGGTGGTGGTGGAGGGGTGTCCTGTAAAGCACTTTGAGTGGAGTGTCCAGAAAAAATGCTATATAAGTGTAAGCAATTATTATTAATAATAATAATAATTACCCTGGTCATTACAATAGATGAAAGTGCATCATGTCAATCGAGGTAATTCAATTGGCGGATACCCCTCTAGCACATTTCAGAGTGAAAGTTCCTAGTGCCTACGAAAACCAAAATCTGGCCCTGCTTTAATGGTTGTAGTTGTAGCAAAACTATTGAACACTTAATCATAATAGTGATTTTGTTTGTCATTTTTCTTGAAATTTATGTTGATCATATTACTGCATTGCTCTATGACTTGGAAATATTTGCTGTGAGAAAAATAGTTTCCTTTTTTTATTTGTTGCCTTTGTTATCCTGACCTCACAACTGTTGAAACTGTTTTCTTAAGATTTTAGGATTGCTAATTGTTTAGTTGCTATAGCAATGTATTTTTATTGCCCTCTTTATTTGAATATTGATATTCATATATATTGATGGACACTGAATTAATTATATTTCTATGCAGGTTTCATGATTCATATAGTGAATGATCTCAAATTGAGTCCAGTAACTAACATCTTTATACATCCTACTGTTTCTGGCCCCTGTCCCACCTCACCACCTTTGCTCATTTTAATGGTTCACCCTTTTGTTTACGGAAAAGTAAAAATGTGCTTTATTATTTCTTACTTTCACTGCTGCACAACCCAGAGAAAGGCCCAACAGGGAAAACTGGAAAAAGCCTGCTACAAGGTGAAAGACTTCAAAGACGACATCCTGTGATAATGAAGAGTACAACAACTACAAAAGTGGTGCTGTAAACACAGCAGGAAATAAATTATGTATTGTTACTATTTGTTGTTGTATATAATGTAAGTTGTATATTACATTTGTAATAACAACAATGTTCTATCTTCTCACTTTTGCAGCTTCAACACTCCCTTGCTTTGACAGTTATTTAAATTGTGTGATATTGCTCAGGCCTTTCTTTTGATGTACGTTCAGTCTGACAACGTTTGTAAACATTTTAATTAACATTTATACTGCAAAACAGCAAGGAACTTTGTGCCTACCCATTCATAATCTTAGTGTGCACAGAAAGAAAATCACTGTCAATTAAAACAATATTCGCACAGCTTTTCTATTCACGTACTGAAGCAGCAGCGCCCCCGACGCATGCTTACAAGATGCTCCTATCCCTGTCGCAGTCATCTCAAGTATGAGCGCAAGCGCAGGCTGCTTGGCTCCAGACTGGATACGAGGTAGGGGGAGAATTTCTCACTATTTAGCAGGAAGGGTGAATTCACCGCGCCTGCCAATTGAAGTGCTTAGGTCACTATCTGGCAGAAAGAAGGGGAGGGGAGGGCTCGGCCGTGGATTCGGGGTTGCTTGCAAACGGAGGCTGAGGCAAGGAGAACGGCAGGCGAAATTAAGCTGTATGTACCTGAACAATACAGCGGGTAAGCGACACAAAACACTGTAAACAACACGGAGATGGTCAAAGGCAGCCACTGAGAGGGAATGGAGAGGTGTGTGTGCGGGGGGTTTCTGTGGGGAAAGAGTGTTGTTTTGCTAGTTTTGTTTCCATTTGAAATGTGTTTCATGTCAGAGTACAGTCCTTCCTTTGTTCGACAGCGCCGTTGTGCTGGGCTCTCTTCTGCTGCGGGGTTTGTAAATATAGTGGAGCAACATGGCTGACATTGACGCTGCTGCTGGTGTAATAATACACTGGCTGCTGTTGCAGGCGGTGGTATTTTATTTTGTCTTGCAACAGATCCAGTGGATAATTGTTTGCACCGGTTTACAGCTTACCTTTTCTTTGAGAAACATCTACTGGATTTCCTTTGTAATGAACTTTAGCAGACGTGTTTCTCTAGAAAAGGGTTAGCTTTACCAAGGAAAAAATACAGATTCCATCGTTATTCCCCCATTATAGTTTAATGCAGCAAAAATGTTGGCAGACAGATGCTAGTGTGAGGAAGTTGGGTGAGCATTGTTCTCGGATCTGTAGCTATCGGCATCTTTGATTCTTTGCAGAGCAAAAGTGTTTTATTGTCCGCTTTTTTAGCATTTAGACAGCTGGAAAATGACTTGTGCTGCATTGTTAGATGTTTTCATTCACCCCAAATAATGTAAAATAGATGTCATTTGCTGCTTTCGGAACTGTGTGATACAACATAACTAAGGTCAAATTGCAGGTAAAGCACAGTTGCGAGGAGTGATCAATACAGTTCATTTAACTGAAGCGCTGTTGGTGATAGACGAGTCGTGTTCTTTTAACCATTGAAGAGTTGTAAATTTGACATGAAGTATGTAGGGCACTGTGGTCCAGTAATAGCTTCATGAAAGTGGTAGCAAGTATTGTTGATGCCATTGCAATAGTAATAATACCTCAGGGTTATTTAAGCACCTACTGGAGGCGTTCCCTTGCAACTGTTAATACTCACCAATTTAAATAAAAAGATTACAGAACTGAGTTGAAGCAAAGGGTTCACACCTTTTTACTTTCTATAACAGTTCATTGGTTCCTGAGTAAGTGCATACTTTAGTTTTTTATAACCTACAATAGAAATGTAAAACTAGTACTTAATGTTACCAACAGTCTATTCTGTCCGCATGGACGTTCGTTAGTTAGTCTGATCATAAATGGCCTGCCCTCCCCAAATCAGGCTTATTACATATTATATTGGAATTATTCTTATTTAATTTTCCTGTCTTAATGTCATATTTTCATAAGTAAGGTGGATTGGTGTGTAATGCTTTCTTTTAGAGCTAATTACTGAACGTCATGTATCAGAGACCTGAAAGAAACTGATTTGGGGTGAGCACGTCACATATGTTCTTTCTAATGCAAATGAAGCATTTATTTTTACCTTGAAAGTCAGAGAGGCAATATTCTTCTTGATTTTGGATTCTTACAGGCACTGTAAAGGCTGTTCTACTAATGCCATTGATATTGGATGGTGATGATGTCTGGGATGTCATACAGCTCACAGAGTAATGAGGTTGTCTGGTTTCACCTGCAGTGAGTGGGGAACATTCAAAAGCACTAGGCTATTTACTCCTACTTTTGTGGCTTTCACCTCCTGTCACCATCTGTCTTCGGTGTCTGCAGTATGTGACAGCTTTAGAAATGATCATGTTTATTTACTGTTATCACATAAAAGAAAGCAGAAATAGTTTTTTACCAAACCATGTACTCCGCTGAAATTTTTGCATTCGTTTTTTATATAAGACTTAACTGTTTTTGTGTTTGGGGCATTGGTTTAAATAAATTATTCACAGTAAAACTGTCCTTCTCATTCAGGAAGGGGCATATTTAAACATCAACTTTAGTGCAGCATCCACTTGAGCGACTCATAGCCCCACTACACATCAGGTGGAGAAGCAAAAATATGCTTCAGCAGTTGAATAAAGGGGGAATGCTGGGTAGTTCAGACTGCAAACCAAGAGCAAAATTTAGACAGTACACCAGAAATGTTAACCCCTTTGCTGTTTCTGACAGTGCCTTGTGATCTTTAATGACCTAGTAGAACCTCATTTTAACATCTTTTTGAAACAAGCAGTTTATTCAGCACAGTGTCCCAGGAGCATTCATTTGGAAATGCGAGGTCAGAGGGGAGACTGACACCTACTGGTCCACGAACACGTCTTAGCAACCTGAATGAGGTTTGATTAGCTAGATGGGCTGAATGGTCTTCTTTTGTTTGTAAACTTTCTTTTATGTTGATCCATATATATCCAGTAACGGACTGGCCCCAGCCTTGCTTTGCTTAGCCTCTGATATCTGATATCAGTCTATTAGGTGGTAACGCTGCAGTTATTGTAAAAAAGTCTATAGCAGCTCATTTGAAACCTGTTATGACTGATTTATAGCTTTATATGAATGTTTGGAACTTGTAATTCTATGGAGATTTCCATAGATATTTCAAAATCATGTGATACATGCGGAATTTATTTTGAAAATTATTGTATTTCTTGGGGATTATGCTGTAGTTGTTGGTTGTGCTGCCTCACAGCTCTGAGTTCTGGATTCAAATCCTGACTGGAGAAACTTTTATGTTTTTTTTTGTATGTCCTCCCCACATTCGCATGGGATTGTTCTGATTGCTTTGGTTTTCTCTTTTCTCCCTTAGACCTGCCAGCTAGCTTAATTGGCCCTGAGTGTGCAATAGTGCATGTATTTTCTGAGGTGGGTTGGTGTCCCTTCCGGGCTGTTGTCCTGCTTTCTGCCTTATGCTTCCTGGATAAGCTCTAGATTGCAGCAACTCTTACCAATAGTTAGCAGCCTTTATGGGGTGGTAATTTAATTTTGTAACATGACGTAGATTGTTTTGGATCGCTGGAACGTCTTAATGGGAAATTTGTGCTCACACATGACAGTATTCATTTGAAATACATGGGACAAGGAGGTGAAATTAGACATCTTGTTCATTGTACCAGACACTTGTGAATCATCTATCAAAGAGAATGATTGCAGCGCGTTTTCTCCATGTTCCAGGTCATCAGACATGCATATGTTACATATCCATGAGTGTGCTGTACAACAGTTTTTCCTTATACAGGTGTTGGGCATTTATAAGCATACAGTATTAGACTATATGTAATCTATGGTTTATAGGTATATGAAGTTTAGAAACACTTAAACACATCCAAACCCATAGATTTATCAGATTTGATTATCAGACTAATTTGATTTTTCATGTAATAGCATAAGTCTTAATGATATTTTGCTTAAAATATGGGGCAGAGCGGTGGCTCTGTGGCTAAGGATCTGCGCCTGTGGCTGGAAGGTTGCCGGTTCAAATCCCACAGCCGGCAGAGGAATCCTACTCCATTGGGCTCCTGAGCAAGGCCCTTAACCCCAACTGCTCCAGGGGCGCTGTACAATGGCAGACCCTGCGCTCTGACCCCAGGCTCTCTCCCTAGCTGTGTGTCTGTGTGTCTCATGGAGAGCAAGCTGGGGTATGCTAAAAGATAATTCCTAATGCAAGAAATTGTAAAGGGTTAATAAAGTAATGTTATTATTATATATCATTATTATTAATTAAATATTTCTGTGAGGAGTCCATATTCACCTTGGTTTCAATAATGGTTATGGAGACAGCCTTTGGAGTGGCAGTTTCTACTTGCACTCAATCACAGTAATTGCTGTTATGGACAACCGTGACTGTATACAAAAGAAGTGCATTTTGCCTGTAAGAAGGTAGGAGCCTGTTATTCCATTTCCATGTAATCTTTGACAATCTTTTAATATTTCAGCAGAGCATCATAAGCTGGAACAGAGTTCACTTGCCTTTTTAGGTGCCTGTGCATGAGAATAATGCAGTCATTGAACAAACATCCTATTACATTTTCCATACAGTAAATTAATTTCCCTCTCACTAGATGATTAACACCATGCAAGGAGGTGGGTTCTGGTATTAAACATTTGTACATTTTATTGTGGAAATTTGTGATTGAAATAGGTTTTTATGCAATGCATGCTTTAGTCATTTAGGTTGAATAACGCTGTTGCTTAAATTTTTCCACCTCGGCTATAAACAAGTTATTACTTATTACATTATTTTGATAACATAGATTATTTCTTAGAATTATTATATTAGATTAGAGAATTGTGTATTGGTTGTGCCAGAGGTCATATATTAACATTTCCTAACTCTGTACAGTGCATAATTTTCTCACTGTCAAATACTGGGGGGTAATTTATGTCAGTGAGGGCTGTAGTGTGATTTATTTTATTTCCAGAAGCTTTAATGCACTATTTCCTTGAAGCTCATATACCACAGCAATGTTTATCAGTCTAGCAACTGTATAAATGCAATGAACTCACACCATCATATACAAGATACTTGGGTTGTACTACAACAAGCAGGGGCTTTTGGGAGCAAATGTGTAGACTTTGCAGCTCATGTTAAAGCACTGAAATGTATACCCTGATAACTTCACTATTAAATGATGCCTGAGATAATTTTGGAAAAAAGGAAAGAAATGGAAGAAAATGGCAATTTGCCTAACAGTGTTTCCCTGGACCTTAAAAATAATTAAGTATTTTGACAGAAAAGTGTTCAGAATTTTCATAAAAAATTCAGCTCTTCACAGTGACCAGTTTCCTTCCAGTTCTGAAGTTTATATTTAAGCCACACAAAAAAAAATCCCGACATACAACAAAAAATAGAAGGCTCCCTAGGTTACAACAAGGAGGCTAATTTGTAGATGGGTGTAAAAGGTATGGTGGGATGCTGGGGTGGTGGTCAGTGCTGCCAGTTCACAGCTCTTGATTTTTACCTGATGTTTAGTTTCCTCACAACTTCCAAACACAAGGTGGATATGTTCATTGGTGTCTCTTTATCATCCCTGCGATGGACTGGCATCTCATCAAGGGTATAGCCACACCTTAGGTGTGGAATAGGATCCTGGCTGCTGCAACCCTTAGCAGAAGTAAGAGACTTTCTGATAA